ATAACATTCTCAAACCACTGCCAGTTGCAGTGGCTCAGTCTACAAGTCTAATTCTAGTATAGTGCATCAGCCTTATGTGTAGCAGTACCTTTTGTCAGTAGTAGTCTTAAGTGGAACTCCTGATCCTCAGTCGTCAGGTCCCTTAACAATGTCTCCTGCTTATCTAATATCACACTTAGATATATAATTACAATTATCTATGAGCATGTTTTGGAGAACCCTAACTTCTTCTGTGTGATACAATGCCTAACCAACTGCTGCATGATAAGTACATCCACTCATGTGCTGTTTGCTGCCCTCTGAGAAGTATTTACACCACTTGGGAGTCTTGAGGCAATATATCAACAGCTTCACATTGACATCAAGGTACTTTGGGCAATCAGGACAGCTCAATACTTGCATGGATGTGAACATATTTTATGCCTTGAAACTCTATATCTGACATGGGAGTACCAGAGATATCACAGGGATCATGGACAATTTATACAGATGCTGTGGGTATCTCTATATATCTTTGATGTCATCCCCACTCTTATCAAAACCCATCCTGTTACAGTCTTAGGGGGGGATTTCTTTTGTTTCATACCTTGTCCTCATTGACTCTGAATGATCTATCTATAGGTACAGCTTATTTCCATGATGTGTTTCATCTATATCTATCTGTTGTCATTCATATCAGTCATCACCCTCTTCATCTCCATCTATCAGTTCCCTGATTCAACTTATCAACTAATATATGATTCTTAGTTTGCCTCAACAGAACTGTATGTTATTTCCAATACTTCTCTATATTTAAGACATAGCTACTACAGCATTGTACTTTAGTTTTGTCCTCCTGTTCCTATGTATACTTCATAGGGACAACTAATAGAACCTATGCATTGCCTTGTCTGCTCTACTCAGTGTGCATTCTCAAACTTCCCCTTCTAAGGAAGGTTTGCTTTACTACTAGTATTATTAAGGGTCTGGTCTCTCATGTATAAATACCAGAGCAATACAGCATAGAGGAGGCAGGCTGATTATACTTGTCTACCCTCTCTTCACCAAGCATTCTTAGAGCCTACCGGCTCAAGTCAAGCCCCCCAGCTTTACTACAAAACTATCCATCATCTTTCAAATACCAGAAGTGAGTGTTTGTGGTTAGGGTTTGCTTTGGCATAAATGTTGAGACCAAGACGAGAGGATGGTCTGCCAGAAGCTCAATGAAATGAGGACAGCTAGAGTCCAAGATGAGCATCTAGTATATTAAATAGTAGGCCATGCAGCTACATACCTAGAGTCCAAGTCCTAGAGTAAACATGTACAACTACAGAAAGTGGCTGTAGGTATAGATGATGAAGAGTTGAATATAACTGAGGGAATAATGAATGGAGAATAAGAGTAAAAAGATGGAAGGATCAGGGATAGTATAGGGAATATGGGATATGTGCAGCATATAGTAGTAAGAGTCAATTGTGAAGATATTTAAATAACAAAGAGCATAGAAAGTGAAGCACTCAACTAACAATAAAGTATCAGGAAGATACTTCGACACCCTGGCATTAGTGATGAGCTGATTAACAAAAAAGTAGATGGCTCCTTTGATGTAAGATAGAGTGCATTCAACCTTATTTTCATCTGTCCTGATGTGTTTGGCATTGCCCAGGAAATAGATATAAATTTCACCTAGGAACTGCTGACTTTTTTCTCTGTCACCTTCAAAGATGCTGGGCTTGTTGACTGCTCCATTTCAGCTATTATTGTCTGCCATGTTGCTCTCCTGGTCACTTGGGTTGTTGTCTCCTTGTTTTCCTGAGTTCTCTCTAGAGGGTTTGGGGTTCTTCACTTCTTCTGGTTCTGAGGGAGGAGGTGAAGAGTCTCAATTTGAGTTAGAGGGACCAGCTTCTGGTTCTGTGGATTGGGGTACTACTGGTCTTTCTTCAAGTGAGATGGTCCCAAAGAAGGCGTCAAAGATACTGGCTTGGGGTGTTGTGTCAACTGGGCTATCTTCCTCCTTAAACATCTAGACTGATATCTAGATGGGTGACTGTCTGGTGTTACACCCTTGCCTTTTCTACTAGATGCTGCTGTGGGTGCCAGACAAGAGGGTACTGTGACTGGGGAGATGTCTGTAGGTGTAGCTATAAGGGCTGGGACTATGCAATGTTTGTCTTTATTGCTCCCAATGGCTACTAGTGATCCTGCTGATCCTCCTAGAGTTTTATCTCTACTTTGATTGGGGTAGAGAGTGTTGAGACAGAACATCCACTTCTGGCTGGTGTTAATGTACTGATCTGAATTGTTTCTGGTACTGAAAGTGTGAATCTTGTTATAGCAAGCTAAACTTCTTGCTTATGCCCTTGTGGTCACCACTGTGACTACTGGTAGGTGACTAGGAACTAGTAATCCTAGGAGAGTTTTGTCCTAAAGTTAAGTGACCTTGGACAACTGGGGATCAGGAGTTCTAACTGGTATTATCTGAGCATTGTTTTAGATGTAACACTTAAGTCCTAGACTTGAGGACTTGTACTATGGTTTATGTCTAACTAAGACTGAGCTTTCCTATTAGAAGAAGTTGGCAAGCACAAACTGAAGTTAAGCAGAGAGAACACCTAGGTTCTATTGCTGATGTCCCTATATAGTATATGTAGGAACAGGAGGACAAAACTAAAGTACAACAAGATAGAGACTAACTTTTAAATGAAGAAAGCTATTGGAAATGAAAGAGAGTTCTGTTGAGGTTAACTAGAATAGTGTATTAGTTGATGAGTTGAATCAAGGAACTGATAGATAGAGATGGAGGAGACAACAACTGAAATGAAACAGTGATGTAGACAACAACAAATAGATGGAGATGAAAATAGAGTGCATAGATGAAATAGATATATGCTATAGTTAAATCATGCAGAG